CAGTAAGCAGCACCCCTCCATGGCCTCTGCATCAGCTCCTGCCTCCAGTATTCTGCCCTGCTTGAGTTCCAGTCCTGACTTCCTTTGGTGATGAACAGTAATGTGGAAGTATAAGCTGAATAAACTCTTTCCTCCCTAAGTTACTTTTTGGTCATGGTTTTTCATTGCAGCAATAGAAACCCTCACTAAGACAGATCCCCATCGAGTGGCACTGATGCAGGGAAGTGGTCATACCTACATGTTATATGTCAAGTATGGGTATGGGAGAAGCACTACCATAAGTGATAGTTAATACAGATCCAGTTCTCACTGTGCTTCAAGGCTTAATGAAGGTGAGTAGCATGTATGTCACTCTTTTCTCATAGCCCTGGTGAGATAGGCCTCGCTGTCCCATCTTGAGGATAAAGGTGCTAAACACAGATGCAATGGGACCTGCCAGTAAAGGGCTAGCTTACAGATGGACCCTGGATGTCTTGCCCCCTGGTTCATAACCTTATGCTATGACCTCCAGCCAGGGTGGCTTTTGATCAATAGCATGTACCATGGGTGATGTAATGTTACTTCCAAAGAAGAGGGGTGAAATGTCTGGCTTCTCTCATCTTTCCTTCTCTCAAAGGCTGTCTCTTGAACAAGCTGTTGGAAGAAGCTGCTACCAGGTTGTGAGGATTTTGATACAGGCTATGGGAGGATCCACGCAGCAAAGAACAGAGAGATGTGGGTAACACAGCCATGTTGAGTCTGCTCAGAGTCCCACTAAGTCTCCTGAGACTCTGGGACAGAAGAAGTCCCAGTTCCCAATCTCCAGAGCATGGATCATAAATGATTGTACCATTTACTTCTGAGTTCTGAAATTATTCTTCAGTGTGAGTAACCCACACACCAGGCATTAATTCCAGTGAGGAGAGTGGGCCATCAGAGGCACTCTCTGAAGTCCTCAAGTGAGTGGTGTTTGTTGAAGACAGGCATTTAGGGGCAGGGGTAGCAACAGAAGGCTGGGCTTTACGGTTAGGATGGAAGGGAACCTCCCACCCATATGGTTAGGTCTCGGCAGTGCCGGGTGAATTGGGGTCACAGATGGCAAACAGGGAGCAGTATAGAGCAAACTGCACAGGCTGTGCCAGTGCATCTATCTGATCAGTCCAGACTGGGCCAATCTGGTCACATTAAGACAGGAATCCTCAGATAACATGAGGAAACTCTTTTGGCACAGCAGCCATTTTCACAACTCCAGGAGACTGTCACTTTGAACATAGAGCTTTAGGGTTTAATGTAGTTAAATGCACTTGGAAAAAAGCCAGTAGCTGTTATTTTTAAAACCACAGGGAGTTGCTGAGATCCTTTAAAACACAAACAGGAGAAGGGTTATTTTCAGCCTTCCATGCTTGAGAGACGTTGATGAGGATGTCAGCAAGAGACCCCAGGTCTCTGAGAATTAACTCGGCCAGAGAGAGGACGAGTTGCCTGCCTCTCAGACTGAGGAGGAGCTTCTTTGAATCCTCTACCCTGAGACACTTCTCTTGGCACCTTCCTCCAGAAAGGACAGGTGGCCGTCCTCTATCTGCAGACATTCCAACATTTCCTAGAGGCCAGGCCGCAGACTGAGTTAGGGCTAGCAACCACTGTGATCATCTGTCTCAGCTACAGGCTGCTTTTGTTGCCATGCTGGTGTCCCTCCAAAACTCAAACACTAGGACGGAATGCCAACTTGGCAACAGTGAGAAGGGAGGCATTTAGGAAGTGACCGGGATGATCTAGAAGCTAAAACAGGTTCACTTGTCCTTTTCCATGAAGACTTTTAGAAAGAGCATGTGTACCTCCATTGTTTATAGTCAGCCTGGGGCATTTTGGGTTGAGTAACTGGGAAGGTGGTCCACAAAGCCTGCAGGGACTGGCCAGTCAATGAAGTAATGAGTACTGAACTGGGACGAGTTACCGGTGTAGAGCTTATCCACTGCTGGTGCAGCTGGAAGTGGCTGGAGGCCTCTCCCACCCACACTGGTGAGTTATGCTAGTTGTGTGTCACATCTGGCTGGCTGGAATGACACCAGAGACATGTAGGGACACCCAGCCCATATGGAGGCCAATCCACAGTGTGAAGGGAGGCAGTGTATGGTTGCACAGGCAGAATAAAAGGCCGTGAAGTTCATGTCGTCTTGGTGGCAATGACATCCCAGTGGTTAGTAAACAGGGTGTGGGAAGCTGTACTATGGTACCCCACTGCTTCCCATGGAGTGTATCAGAGGTGCTGAGTTGAAGCTCTGTATTTTATCAGCTGCTACCTAGCCATGCAGATGCTCCTGGATACACACCAGAGGCTGCCAAGAACCAGACTTCCCTATTCCATCCCAGCAGTCATGAAGGGTCTTTCTTACCAGCTTCTGTGTCAACAAACAGTGGTAACCCAGGGCCACTTTGTCCCTTCAGAAAACAAACCAGGCAGGACCAATGTCTCCTTCTCCAAAGTGAAATATAATCAGGAGCTAAAAGAGATATTGTCTCCTCACACTATATAATGTATATAATGTCCACACTATAGTTGAAATTACTCATTTGACAACGATCAGGGAAATCTCAAACAAGCAGCAACTGCTTGGTAAAGATGAACTTCAAAGTCAATTACATAATAATCAACCAGGCAGGAATTTAAGAGATAAGTAGGTAGAGGCCTACAACCACAAAGGGTTATGGGAAATAAGGTGAAGATGTGCAGTTGACCAGGGAAGCTGTGGCACTCCTGGGGACTCTATGCATATTGGGATGTGAAGTGACTTGCTGCACAGCCAACGCAGAAGGGCCTGAAGACAAGGATGCTCAGGATTCCTCCAAGTATGGAGACCTATTGACAAAGGGGGCGTTTGCTCACCCGGCTGCCATTTTACTCCACGTCCATGCATCTGTCCTTTCTCATGTTCTTTCCGAGCAGACTTTTCACCACCTGCAGCCCCACAGCTGTCTTCCACACAGAGCTCCACACTTCTCAGCTCTATTGCCCTCTCTGCAGTCTTGGTGACATCCTTCTAAGAGGTGACAAACTCACTCTCATTTTTTTTTTTTTTTTGATCTAATGAAAGCTTTTCCTTCAATCTCAGGGCCATCAATCCTGGGATTCACTTCATAGCCCATCTGCCATGAGGGAACAAGCCCCTCTCCTTGAGACCATTTTGTCTGGAGCACCACTCCCCATTTGCTCTCAGGCCTCAGCAGCTCCTCCTGAGCTCCTTCAGTCTGCTGACTTCCAGCACTGCAGACCCAGGGCTCTGTTCTCAGACACCCATCCTCACAGCGCAGCATCAGACCATCTAAGAGCTCTCCCCCAGGCTTTTCCTCCTGCTAAGCTTGCCCCTCCTCAGAGGTACAGCTTAAACACCATACTCCTATGACCAATCTTCACAGCTCGGGAAGACATTACTTTTCAGTGGCTTTGGACCAGACTCTTTGCCTCATCCAGCTCATTTCTTCCATCTCACCAGCAGCCCTAAGTGCTGTCCTTTCAAAATTCACCTGAAATCTGGCCACTGCTGCTGTCCTGCATTGTGCTGGCTTTCTCTTCCTCTCTATGGTGTTTAGGAAATTTAGCCTATTTTGTGAATAGGCACTACCTGATTTATTGCCTGATAATTAGAGCAGGGTAATACACACTGGATCATTTTACTCTTTGGTTCAACTTTTTTGCTCATTCTGTTCACGGTCCCATTAAACTCAAAGGTAATTCCTTATGCTCTGTCCGCTCTAGCTAGCTCTCTAGCTTCATTTCCTCCACTGTCTCTTTTTCACTCTTCTACTTCTTACACTAGCAGGCCTGCCATCCTCCTAGCACGAGGAATGCTCCCACCTCAGGCCCTTTATGCACACTGGTCTCTCAATGAAAACCCCTTGTTTACTCCTATTGGCCTGCACTATTTTATTCTTCAGCCAGCCCAGGTGGAGTGGGGCTTCTCCTGTTGACACAGCTCCACCATCACCTGATCTTCCATTCTGTGCCTCCACTGGAATGTAAGCCTTTCCAGAATCAACTCCCTCTGGCTTACTCTCTGCTTTCTCTGTAGTTAGCAGCATGTAGTCATTCTTAGGAAATACTTATGTGTTTGATGAATGTGGTAAAGTATCAGGGTAGCATTTAGGTATCAAAAGTGCAATCAGGGTGACCGGACAGAGTTGAGCTGGAAGGCTCACAGCCACGGGGCTTCAGTTGAGTCAGTGAGTGAGAAACGGATTCAGAGATTCCTCATAGCCTGCTCAGAGTATAAGGTTTCTACTTGTCTAAATGGGCTAAAGGATATACTGAACTGTATGGCTTTCCCAAGCTTGTCCACAGACCGCTACTCTCATGCTCTTTCACAAGCAGCCTTCTGGCTGTAGGGTACTGCTGTGTGTTCTCTAGCACAGGTCTTGGAAGATGGAAAAATGTACATTTGATACACATAAAGGTCAGAACTTCAGGAGTAGATGACTGTGATTTTGGACTGCATAGTAAAAGGATAATAAAATGTGAAACTATTCAAAGTTATTCTGTGTTTATGCAATGTCCCAAACTCAGGACACCTCTAGAAAACATGTGTGGGAAGAAAGCAATATCTTGCGAACACGTGAGATTGCTCTGGAAACTCCAAGATCAGTAAGCATACTGGGTAAGCTTCCAGCATAAAACACACACTCTCAGGTATATAGAATTTAAATCACAGTACACTCACAACCAGGGGAAGGAGTAACACTACACGGAGACGATGACCTTTGTTCCATTTCAAATCACAGAAGTCGCTGCTGTGTTTCATGTGCCCCTCCTACAGAAGCCTTTACTCTTGCCTAACACTCCAATTTACTGATCCATAACTGCGATGGACAAATCATTCTCACATCTGCTATCTGTGTAGATTCTTGATGTCTTGTGCCGAGCCACAGTTGTAAAAGGCTATTAAGTACACAAACTTTATATAGCTGTGCAGAAATAATTAGATTTTTGGTCTTCATCTATATGAAAATAAAAGAGATTTTGATGGGGAGCCTTTATTAGCTACAATACAAATCATTCTTTTTGTTTCGGAGACAACAAAATAGAACTTTAAGAAGAAGAAAAGACTTAAAAATTAAAAAAAGGCACACTGTTTCATAAAAACATTCCAAAAACACAAATTTGGAACAAAACAACAATAATCAATTGATGACTGTCAAGTTTCCCGAGTGAGATCATTTACTGTGTAGGCACGATGGTGAGGTGTCTGTCTCTAAGCAGCCATAACAGAAGCAGTTCCTGAAAAAGAGAAAGACGAAATTCACTTGTACACATCAACAAAGCATTAATGATAACACCTGTGCCAAATGGTGACGTTCAGGCCAAAGAGCATGCGGCAGGGATGCACATACAGGACATACATAGGAGAGGCAGTGTGATGAAGAATGGCTAAGTCAAGGCAGAAAACATCCCTGCAGTAAAGAGCACGGAGGGACAAGCAGCGTGGTGCCGGCCGAGCTCAGCGCACTATGGTGTTTGGGGCTGAATTCAGAATGGCAATGCTGGTGTTACACCAACTGTTGGAATAAACAGTTCTGCCTCAGCACCATCCTTTCATCTTTGTCAAACAAGAGACTGCACTGCAGGGAATTTAAATAACCCCTCTATTAACAAATACCAGGCTACTTATTGCCATTGAAAAGCTGCTAGTCCAAAAGCCACACACAAGGAGTATCATCTCCAGTGCACCATCATCAGTGTGAGGGTCCCTGCAACGTGTTCCAACTGCACACTCCTGCGCTAGGTGACAAAGTAGCATGCTCCTAGCTTGCTGAGACCTAGAACTTTCTTGTCTTTCTAGGGCATCTTGCTCCATGTGTCTCCTGGCAACCCTATGTACCAGCAACGGCGAATAACTCCCCAAACACACAAGCTGAGTTAGCCCATGCAGCCATCACCTACACCACCTCACACCTACAGCAGCCTGTCAGCTCTAGTGTTTTTCTCCTCCCCACCTACTCGCTTGACTGTGACTTTCACAACCCCATTTCAGCCTCAACTCCCACCTCTTCCACAGACCTACCTAGGACATCACTTTCACTCAGCATCATCTCTGCCATCACTGAGTCTTACTATTCCCCAAACATACCGCAAGCATGTTGGGGCTGCTTGCATACTGTGTAAGGAAGAATCAGATGCAAACTGCTTTTCTAAGGACTAAGACATAGAGTTCAAAGACTTTTAATATGGCAGGTCTCCTGACCTGTAACCAAAGATAATTTCTCAAATAACCTTTAAATGCTTCAAGTTTATAACATGCCAAGTACTAACTAATGCCTGCCTGGGAGCTTACTGAGGGGTGAAAGACAACCCCATGTAACAAAGCCAGGAGCTCAAAATCCAGGACCCTGGATTGAGTGTTGTCAGCTGGGAATCTCTGGCAGAAATGGCAGGCTCTCTTGGCTGCAGATGAGAGGCAGGTCTCTGGCAAGCTGGTAGATCCAGAGAAGCAGAGGAAAGGGGAAGATGGGCAAGGACACTGTGAAGCCCATTTCCTCCAAGAAGTCCAGGGCTCCAGAACATTTACCAGTGCTTGTTTCAAAGCCCGCCATTCAACAGGCTGGCCCTTAAAAGGCACCTGTGAAAGTAAGCAGGCTCCTGGAAGAAGAGAATACACACATCTGATGGGTGAGGATTTCACTCCTCCTGTATAGACACTCAACGCTGTCTGTAGTGAACTCAATATCCCTGCCTGATGCCCTGTACACAGCAGTGTGTGCGTAAGTGTATATGCACACTCAAACACACCATTTCACAACCTGCTTATAAAGCTGTAAGAGAAGACCAAAGAAATCCTGATCCTTTTTTTTTTTTTTTTCTGGTATGACATGAAGCCACTTCATTCCCTCAGCCCACTGTGTACAATCTGCATTATGGATATTTACATTTTGATGGTGGAAAGAAGGGTAAACATCCAATCACAGAACATTTGTGTCAGAATTCACGATGTTCCAAGGGTTTTTGAGTGTGACTGGGTACAGAGATACTGGCCAAGGAGGAAGGCTTCCTGGGTGTGGCGTGCTTCAGGCCTTACTGAGATCAATGGGCAAGTGCTAGGTTGTGAGCTGGGCCGATGAGGCAAGAAAATTTGCATCTCGTAGAGAATGGCACTGACAGAAAAGTGTCACAAGGCGTGAGGGGTCTCCAGAGTAGCAAGGCTTCGGTGCAGTGGGCAGGCGAGGAGTAAGCCCTCCTATAGGCTGAGGAAGAGGCAGCAGCAAGACCATGCAGGGCTCCACTCAAAGCTGAGGACTCACTGGAAGAACTGAAAATAATTCAGCCTGGGGGCCGATCCTTGAAGGAGGTGGGAGTTGAAAGTGGGGTGAGCTCCTTGAGCCAGGAATCCTTCTGGGGATCAGTGTCATCTGCAGGTAACTGTAATTTCCCACTAGATAAAGAGGGTGGAATCAGGGATGGGAAACTGATTTACAGCTTTCCCACACAGAGGCAGGATAAAACGTACCACTTAAAAGCTAATGATGGGTGCTCTCCTTCCTGTTTCTCTGGAACACTACATTGGAAGCATAAGCCTTATTTTATTCACCACAGACTTTTGAAAACAGTAGCATAGAGGCAGTTAGATTCCAGTTTTATATGGGACCTTTCTCTGTACATTGTGATGAGTAGCTCTACTTAATTTTGAGCTAAACAGACAGAACTAGATTATCTACACTGCGATTATTTCCGTGACATCTCTTCCACCACCAGGGGATCTCAGCTAGCCTCAATGTGCCTTGGGCATAGTTCAGTTCTCTATATGCTGACTGACTGATAAGCGTGCAGGTTCCAGGGCACCTGGGTTACCCATTCCTTGTTCGCTGCACTCCAGGAGGTTTGTACAGAGTTCTGGACAAACTTTGTGGTGTGTTTAGTATGGTCTCTGGAGGCAGAAAAGGCAAGCTGAAAGGAGATTGTGCATATGCTTTGCATCCCTCACCTATTCAGCCAAGATCATCTCTCACTTTCTCTCATCACTTAACACAGTTAACGTTTCCTCCAGAATCACATTTTTCTATATAAACACACACACAGCAACAGGTAAGAGTACAGGCCTTTGACTTTGTTTTGGGTATGCCTGTACCTGTCCAGCTCTATTAAGGCAGAAATCTCTGTCATGTGCATGTCACAGGTAGGGACCCCACAGTTGAGAGGGGATGCACCATCTCACTGAAGGCTACCGTGCTGTGTGATTACTGCCTTCAACCTGGTTCATGAGGGTATCTTCCATCTGGCTCTAACCCCCTATTGGCAGCTTCCTCTTTCTTTAACCATCCTGCCTGGGTTTTGCATCCCTCTTCTGGCATCTATAAAGCATCTTACATGTATTTGTCAGAGGCCCGGCTAGTTGGTACTTTGGTTGCTATTTTCCATAGCAGAGTGTGGTACCTGTAAGGGCAGGAACTGTCTTTATCTCTGTATCTGTGCCTCTGTTGCCAAGCAGATACTCAGAAGATAGTTACCCAAAGTGAATACTAAAAATGATTTGAGTTGGAATACCTAGCTTACACGATGCTCAGGACCTAAAGAAAAATGCATTTCCTTATGCAGGAATGTAGGGCAGGGAAGGGGAGGAGAGGGATAGTGATAATCACAATGTTCAGCTGATGCCCAGGGGGACATAAGGTAACATTGTAAGAATCCCTACTGTGATGAGACCAGTGTAACAGAGATACCAGAAAAGGTAGTGTTTCAAAGTTCCAAGATTCTAGATCAAAGTGGCTATATTCAAATCTTGCTTCCATCCGTTACAAGAATTTGGAGCTAACATCATGACTTCACCTTCTGAAGCTTCAGTAGCTTCCTCTGTAAAACACAGATGACAACACTTATAGTAATTAAAATTCAATGAAACAGTTTACAGGAAGTGATAAGCACATGTGTGGCCACTGATACAGCCTGCACCCACTATGCAATGATGTCAATACTGAGATGAGGTAACAGTCACAAAATCAGCTCTTCAGAGGGGTCAGAGGATGACAGTCCACTTAGCAGCAGAGGGGACACAGGCTGAGTTCAGAGGCCTACTTAAAAGCACAGAAAATACTGGACTGAGTTCAGAGGGCAGAGGATGATGGGAGCATTAACAGTAGAAAGGACACTGAACTGAGTCCTGAAGGTTGGGGCTGGTTCCCATGTACAAAAGAGCAGAGAATACTGACTCACCAAAACAATCAGATTTCAAATTACTTTAATGAAGGGTCCTGTATCTTTTAAGTCACTGCATTCCTACTATCTAATTTGTATCTAGTACAGAACTCACCCTCTGTGAATGTCATCACATAAGAAAAACAGATGGACTCCACGGAAGAGACAGGCCAGAAGCAGGACACATGAGAATAGCACAATGTGGGGCACTACAGGGACGTCCTGTGACAAGAGGAAGAAATCGGGTCTGGGAGAGTGATGGCCGAACAAGAGTATGTCCTGCATTCTGTTTAATCCTATCATCCAGACTGCACTGAGAACTGCCCGGGAGAGAAGTAAAGCACATAGGGACTCTCCAGAGACTATTAGTTCAGGATGGCTCTGAGGACTCAATAGTTTAATCCACCGAGAGATTCAAACTGTGAACAGATTACTTGAGAAGTGATAGAATGCTGGAAGGTGAGCCTGGTAGGGGAAAAGTGTGTCCCTGTGGGCATGTCCCTCCAAAGACTATGCCTGGTCCCTTCCTGTTCCTGCTCTGCTCCTAATCTTGCCAGCTGTGGCAGAAGCTGCTCTCTCCGGAGCTCCCCTTAAGCAACAGGTCACAGTGAAGCAAAGTCTTCCTAACAGCAGCCAGTAGGAGCACTCAGAACACACTGGAACTGCTCTTGTCCCTTGGGTAATGCCCTATCACAGTCTAATGAGGCTATGGATGCCGCAAAAGTGAAATAGACATAACATTCTATGATTCCTGGCTGTTAGAAGACCACCCTCTGCCTGCCCATAAGTCCTGATTTAAGAAGCCTATATGAGGATGGATCCCCTTGAGCCTCAAGATGGGGTCTGAGCCAGGGAGTGTAAGAGCTCTTCAGTGCCCAGCAGAGAAGTGGTTGGTATTATTGGAGCCTGTACAATGGACCATTGACAACTTCATGACTGAAGCCTACAGTCAGTTTTGACCCATAGAATTCCATGATAATAAACTATTTACTGTGTAAACTATGAAAAAGAAAGGTTATATTTATTATTTGATGTCAATCTCTAAGAATACTACTTCAGAAAGAAACCCAAAAGCTCCAACACTGAGACATGCCACATTCCTTACCTATACTAGGAAAAAAGGCAAAAGCCAAGCAAACAGCAAACTCAATAAATGTCACAATCCATTTTCTTTCTATAGTGTGTTTCAGTTAATTCTGGCTATTAAGAAAAGTTTGTATGCTTCTCCTTTATATTAAATACGTGAATTCAATCCTAACCACCGACTTTCATGTGACTGTGTCGGGTTAAACAACGCCTACAGCATTACTTATGAAAGTTAGAGAACTATGAATATAACAGTGTGCATCATGTCCTTGGTACTGACAGGAAGAGACACTTCCCCAGATGTGTACAGCTGAGTGGCAGAGCTCAAATAAAAACACTTGAGAAGATCCAGCCAGGCATCATGCAATGAGTTTCTGACCATAAGGGGCTATAGAATGACAGTGAATTAAATCCCCAATTACAAAAGCAAATGAACTATCAAAACCCAAAATAACATCCACAAACATCACACCCCAAAAGAGAAGTATCAGAAAGATCATGAGGCCAAGAACCTGAGTAGTAGTGATTGCCTGCAAAGTGAGCTCAAATCAATGATACCACCCCTCTTTTATAGATATTTGCTTTACAGATCTCCAGATTAAAAATAAGAAAGAATCCCATAAAACACTTGCTTTAATATTTATTTTATAAAAGCTCTAATTTTCAGAAGCACAAAACACAGATCTACAAGACCAGGTTAATTACTTTGAAAAACTACTTGTATATTTCTGTAAGCTTTTGCATATATATGTGTATGTGTGTATAAAAATTAAAGGTTCACATTTAACATTCAATTTGGCAGACTGCTTTCTTTAACTTAAGAATTTAGAAAACCTTTGCAGATTATTGGCTAAATTGCGCTATTCTCATTGAAAATTATGCTATGTTTTGGATTTATCACAATAACTACCATATATGTATATGTATACTATGTATATATCTCTATATATGGTAGTTGTATATACATATGGTATATATTTGGTGTATACTTTATATCAGTGGTATATATATATATGAATTATTATACAATGTGTTTAAATGACACATCTATGAGGCAGATTCTAAATAATTCGATTTAGTGTGTCTGAGATACTATTTAGGACATTCATTTTTAGCAAATATGCAGGTATCTGCAACAGATCTACATATATGTTGCAACTATAAGCTCTCAGGTCTGTTACACGTTCTTAAAACATTTTCCCTCAAAGCTGCGAGGATACCTAGTTTCTCATTGTGTGGCGGGAGATTAACAAGCAGGTTGAGTCTGCACCCAAACCCATCAAGGGAAGAAACAAAAGCATGCCCACATCAGACATGTCTCTCCTGTTGTTGCTGGCAGTGGATGGTCGCAGAAGGCTCTGTTTTGGGTTACAGAGGTATGACTGTCCCCTTTGATCTCTCGGTGTTTTTAGGGACTCCTGATGGTGGGAGCAGATGTGTCTTTGACTCTATGGACTGCTTTTGGTTCTCTTTTACTCCTGTTGGGCTGCCTAGACTAGCCTCTTTGTGAGGGCTTCTGCCTTGTCTTACTGTGTTTTGTTTTGCCATGATTGATTGTTGTCTCTTGGAGGCCTCCACTTTTATGGATCTAGGGAAGAAGGCAGATGGAGCTGGAAAGAGTCTGGAGGGAGGAGAAACTGGTCGGGATGTATTATCTGAGGGAAGCATCCATTTCCAATATAAACAAACAAACATTTTACATGAATTAGGTGTGGAGATTCTAAAAAAAAATCATAAAAAAAAAATTATGCTACGAATTGAGGTGCTAACACCCTCGGTCGGTCTCCAGTTTCTAACTCAGGCCCATTCATTCTGCAGAGGCCTCCTGCCTGTCCCAGGAGGTCCTTGAGGACCTAAGGGTGCTGTCACAAGGGAAGCTGTCATAGGCACACCGGGCCCTGCCTCACTGTGGGAGCAAGCACTTCCCCTCACTTCCTCAGCCACTGGCTATCAGGGGACAAAAGGCACTTACCTTTCTCTGCTCTATGTCACACTGAGCTCCTCTGACAGTCCAAGATGGTCAACATTTCCTAACAAAAGAAGAAATCTGTTTACTCAAAATAAATATAAGGAAGTCCCAAATAAACATTTTATACAATCTACAATTAACACTTAAGCCAAATGATTAACAAATAACTTTATTAAAGCCTTGTCAGTTTTAAGAATGCCCTCGATTTACTAACCAAAAGATGTATTACACACAACTAGTTATGAGGTTTTACAGTTGTTTAATAGGGAAGAATTGGCCCCAATTAAACTGGCTAAACTAAGGCTTTTTAGATTACTGCAACAAATTAAACTTTTTAAAATGAGAATTTAGGTGATCTTAAAGCCTTTCTAAAATGGATAATGAAACTGGCTATGTTGTAATCTCCCTGGTTTTATTAGTTATATTAATATAAATTAAGTGAGATTAAAATCTTATTTGATTTATTTACCTTTGAAAATGAAGACCGTTTAAGGGTTACACATCCTCAGCCTTGGCGAGTGCGACCTCAATTAGTCAAGTCAGAATGTCTTTAAAAGCTTTGTGCTTATGCTTCCAGCAGGGAGCGAGGTGTTCATTAAGGTACCAAAAGTCTCATAAAAAATCCAAAGTTGCACTAGTGAAAAAACGCTCGACAAGATGAAAACTGATCACATCCTTTTCAGAAAAATCCAGTAGTTATTTTAAAACCAGTTTTAAAAGCAGATTTGGTTTGCATGGGTTTAATGTGCCACTTGAGCAACTCGATACCGTATGGACTCTTTAGACCGCATTTGAACCTAGGGTGAGTATATCATGGCACATTTAATTTTATACCACTTTTAAATAAGCTGTACAATATTTAGTGTGACCCTTTTATGACAAGCGCTGTTAGAGGAACCCTTTCCCTGTTTACAGCTATTTATGAAGGCCTTTTTAAATAGAAAAACATGAAATCGTTAGCTCACACACACAAAATTCTTTCAAAAGTTTATTTAGTATCAAGCAAGAGGAGACTTTGCCTAACACTACAGAACATAAGACTCAGTTACAAAAGAATCCCACATTGTTTGCACTTGTAATCGGCTCCCTTTTTACGCAAGTTGGCAAGAAAAAAAAAAAAAACTAGCATATGGCTGAACGATAAAATAACTAAATTCTATGGAAACCTTTAAAATGAAAGGTGAGGCTTATGTTAAAAGAATGGATTAACATATTTAGTAAACCTATCTTTTTGTTTAACACTAGTTAATCAAAGTTATTTTTTTCCTTTTCATGACCTAGTTTTCATATACAGACTGCAAATAACAAAATTTTACATGTCCTTCTCCCTGCCAAGTGGATGCTTCAACAAAGTGGTTTAAAGTTCCATCCATTCAGATTTTAAGCATTTTGACTTATTTAAAAAGGGATTGTTCATAGAAAAAAATTACTTTGAACAGTATACAGGACGGTGGAGATTGGCTATTTCACAACATCAGACAGTACAATCAGTATCTGCCATATGGCTGGTCTCTGTAGACGCCCTTCGCCGTCCGCGCCGAAGGAGCCTTATGTCTTGAGTTAGTCCATTCCTCTTGCCCTAAAATCAGGAAGATGAATCACAATTAGGCCACTGTCAGGGGATCCCAGGAGCTTCATCTGTCAGAACCAGTGGTGAATGTCATACTGGAGATACATGTCTCTGATGTACTAATAAAAGAAACACAAGGGGATTTACTTAAAAATATTGTGAACACAATACAAAATGATCTTGTCACCAGCAACATAATCGCCTTGAGAAGAGAGTGACCTTTGTGTTGGGAACAGCAACTAAGTGCAAGAATTTCTTCATGCAACACATCCAACAGCCTTTAACAGAACTCTAAGAGAATGGAAAAGGACCATTCTCATTTCTTCCAAGAGCAAAGACAAGGAGAATGAATACAGATAATTTGAGGGAAGAAAAAGAAAAACAAAAACAAAAGCAAAGATCAAAGTGGGAAAGGTAGACTGAGAAAAGTCTCTGCCTGTTCACAGGTTCTCCACACAAGGACTAAAGAAGGCACATTGGTGGGGACTTCATGACACCATGTCATAAACAGCATACATGCTGGGTGGCTGTCAATAGCCACAAACTTTCTATCACCTTTACCTCCTGAAATTCAACAGAGTCCAGTCTCAGGACATTCACTGAGTTATCCCCAGGTCTCAGACAGCAAACAGTTAAGTCCCTGCTGCAACACAGAGCAATCAAAAAGCCATGTGTCCTCAGAGACCAATTTAAAAAGCTGTGAGAGAAAAATGCTTAAAATGACCTCTTCTGATACAAACATGCAATCAATGTCACTCCTCTGGCGAACTTGCACGACGAATTTAAGTAGACAGCACTCACCAAGCCAATGCATCTCTCTTAAGTGTTTATTATGAATTAAAAAAAAAAAAAGGAGCATCCCAAAAAAGAAAATAAAAACCACCCAAATATATAAGACCTCCCCAGCCCCTGGCAGGTGATTCAACAAAATGCACTTCAAAGTGTGCCAGAAAATGCATTTTCACTTAAGTTCAGGGAACTGTCACAGAGTCAACTTCCCAGGACCTTAACTTGCTGGATACTAGGCATTCTTGGAGCTTTGCCACCAACAGAGGCTTCTCGTTCCCAGATCCCTTTGCCTTGCAGCAAAGGTACTTCTTACTATCATTTTGTCGCCACCGTCAATTCTGTTAATTAAACCTGTCACCCTTCTGCATACTGAGACTCTGGTCTTGGATTGCCCAGCACCTTTATGGGCTCGCTCGGAGCTCAGAGGAGTTACTTCCTAATGAGCCTGACAGACCCTCGCGTCTCCTCCCTGGCACAGCTTTTGTAACCTTTCTGAAATGACTCTCAGTATAATTTGTCTAAGGTCTTGAGGTTGGGAATGAATTAAAATATAAAGATGGGGGAAGCATGAGAGCTATAATCTCAATGGCTTCATTTCCTTTACTATCAAGGAGCAAAGAGACTTCAGAAAGACCCACGTCAGCAAGTGTCTGCAGTTTGTCAACCTGCTTGGTTAAAATAGTGAGAAGATCAGTACCAGCCACTGACCGCAACAAAACACCTAAGCTTGGGCTCTGAACCCCGTGCACTGTAATCAGTCTTCCGTTGTCTTTAAACACTGCACTTAACTATTAAATGAGCCTCTGGCAAACACAGGGTGTACTCAAAGGAAATGACAGGAGGAGGGTCCACACACAAAATGAGTTCATTAAAACGAGTGTGGATCTCCCTTCCCATCAGGACTTTTAAGGTTTGCCCATGGCCACTTGCCCTCTCTCTGGGTGATGATTATGGCCACTCACTCACCATAGGAATCGTAAGCCTCCTCGCCGAGTCCGTGCCCGTAATCATAGTAATCAGCTCCACTGCGTGAACAAAAGAAAACACTGTTAGCACAAGATGTTTCTGTGCTGGGGTTAAATCATTGCCAATGAAGTGCTCAAAACTAGATAAACTAAAAATAGATGGGGCTAAACTGGAATTAATTCCTCCTGAGATGAAAGAATGCTGAGAGAAGGCAGACTTATTGACTATCAAAGGCTCTCCTCTTAACTCCTGAGTCTGTCATCCAAAGCACATCTGGCTAATCACTCCCACAGTGCCTGAAAGGTAGGAGGAAAAGGCTGGAGTCCTCAGAGGGACAGGCTGAGAACTAGATGCTAAGAGCCATGGCAGGGTTCACTCCAGGTGCTGCTGGGAATGAGGCAGGAGGCAGCAAGCACCAGGTCTTTGCAATGGATAGATATGGTTTCTTTGACTGCTGCAAACCTTCCACAGAACTCAGTACCACAACAGCTGCAGGAAGTTTCCTCATCTGTTAAACAGCGGGCCCAAGAGAGCTCCTGCCCTTCTCTATTGGCATTACTATATTACCATTGAAGTGCCAAAAACCCTCATGCTGGGTGCCTGGATGAAGTGCAATAGAGTGAAGATGAATCATTCCAGGGGAGTTACGAGACCTTTTCAACAGACAGGCGAGTTAGGTTCGAATCTATCATCAACAGCAAGGATAGCCTGCTATTGCCACCATTGTGTGCACATACTACAAATAGGCTTCATCTTTGCACCACATGTGAACTGTGTGTGGTTCTGTTTTGTTTTACAGACAGAAGCTGGGTCACCGAACCCCACCTGTGCACGTATCTAAGGAAGAGGTTAGGCTCCATTTACCCCCTCAGGTGCCTCTTTCCCACCAATTTTCTAAGAAACAGGCATCCTTATTATTTCAAGTTCCAACAACCAAACATGAAGGTTCCAAGCATAGCAGAACCCAGCTGCATTCTACACCTCTAGCAGCATGGTATCTTCTGCTGGCTGCTGATATCCATATGCTCTGGGACCAAGGTAGGTGAGCTGTCACCCATGTTAAAGGTTAGGGCCAGGGATACAGCCTAAAATCTCACTGGTTACAGCATAGTTCAGTTTATCTGATGCACAGACCCCAATCATAGGCTATATCCACACTGTACCCCCTCATCCCCATGTTTCCTTTCTTGTGTAAAATATACCTGAGACCAAACAGTCCAAAGGCACCATGAAGTCAGCTGGCTGCCCTCAGACGTCAGCAATGAAGTGCTACTCCATTGAGATGCAGCTTCCTGTTACTACTCCTTCTGCTTGAGATGCTCTTTCACCCTCTAAGCTACTTTCTACTCAAACATCAGACTGAATGTTACCTCCACAGAAATTCTCCCATTCATAGTCAATATGGCTCCCATCCTAGGTTACTGTCATCATTTCTCATTCTGGCCTGTACCAGAGGTTTCCACAGCAGGTATGGAGGGACCAGTGTGTGGAGAATGGTACACACACACACACACAACCACACAGACAAAGACACCGACACAGACACACAAGAAAGATATACTGTATCCCAGATAGAGAGTGCAATGCTGGGCAATGCTCTGAGGGGCCAGAAAGATGGAGTTGAAGGAGGGCTGAGGAGAAGGAATAGAGTATGCACAGCACAAAAAAAAGGAAATAGGCTAAAAAATCCAAGTGTTTCCAAGTGTTTTTCAAATAGAATTATCCAGTTCTCATAGCATACCCAGACTAGAATATTCTGCAGGATAGGCCTCCACTAAGTGCACAATACAGACAGGGTAGACACCTTGTAAACCCGGGTGAACCACATCCTTACAAGCTAGCTAAACGCAGTTGAACATACTTGTTCCAATGTGAATCCTCTGTAATTAAGGTTCTAGAACGTGCTGTGCTCAGTTTTCCTAGCTCTGTGTTCAGATCCTATTGCAATCACCAAAGCTCAATGTAACGAACAACTTTTCCTCGGAGGAGGCATAGGCAGCTACAGAGCTTTAGAAACACTCAACAACCTGGCCAGCTGACTTACTGGCAGCTTCTCTTGGGCATGATCCCACCTCATCTGAAAGTCTGTTTTCACTGTTACATGACAATGAGGCTCAGAGACCTGAGGGGCACTGTACTTGCTAGTGGCAGCATCTATACCTAAGGCTCTGCTACCACACACAGGACAAAGGCGGCTTCCTTCCCTTCCTCAGCCGTTCACTCTTCCACATGCAGTTGCTTCCCTGGAGCTGACATGACTCTTCCTTACACTCAGCACAGAGGGTTCACAGGACCACACCATGCATTCATGGTAACTGCTCACAGCATTATTTTTCTCTGGCTTCTGGTCTCTCTTCCTCTCCTTCTGTAGGTCTAACTTTTCCTGAGGCACAGTGAGAAGAACTAGCTGGAAAAAGAAAGTAACAGACTTCCATATTCAGGAAGACATTAAACCCAACACCAAGCAACAAAACAAGGCTCTTCTACACAACATACTGTAGCTGTACAATAAGGAAGAGCTTTAAAGTACAACGTTTCTCCTCTTAACGACAGACACTAGGACTCAGCCAAAGGTTTGGAGGCAATGCTGAAGTTGGGCATCAGTCATGACACCTGTCTCAGTTATGGCCTCTGACTGCTCTCTGGTGAAGTTGCTCCCACGTAGAGGGCCCAGGTGGAAGTTCAGTTTGCCTGGCTTGATCCTACCCTTGCCCCACAGTGCTCTCTAAGGGTCAGCTGCAGAATCTGGCTCCACGTAAGTCAAATTACCTTCTTGTTTTGTGACAAATAAATTCACCGATAATGCCTCCAAAAACCTAAATTTAAGGAATCTTGTTTTTTTGCCACCAAACTTAGAGGTAACATTATAATGGCTCCTTAGACAAATAAACTTCGTGGTTCTTGAGAATTTTACCTATTATATAGATAAAACAAGAGTGCCCTTTATGAAACTGAAAGGGCTTTCTTCCCTTAGAGAGTTTGCAATCTGTTACCTCAGAGCTGACATGACAGATAGGCACAGAGACTAATAAACCAAGAGTGTAACAATTGCCTCCTTCATTAAATGACGTCAGTGGTAATGAACATCTACATAGGCTGGAAATTTATCTGTGAAGAATACTCACACAATTCAGCTTAGGGTGGGGTCCTGAATATTTTCCAATGATCAGAAAGATAAAAGGCAGCGTAATTTGCCCCAGAATTGGTTTGGTGATAAGACAATCTTAGTTTTGACAAGTGAAAACTTTAAATTGACATTTGCTATCATGTCACCCAGTTTCTGATTATTTATTGCAAGACTGTCATCAAGCTGTGAAGCTGGAGCAGCTGCGCCCCATACCCCTACCTGTCAGCTTCATCGGAATTGTTTTCACAGCATTTCATTTCGTGTAACTCAAACGTCTATTAACTAAAGATGTGTCCTATTTCCCAAGGATAAACTAAAAGCCATGACATGGCAGAGGGGAAACAAACACTAAGAAAACGGCATTTAAGGGCACAATTTACAGTCTTAATAAAAACAAACAGAAAAAAAACCCCACAACAAACAACCATGAGGCTGAACAGTCCACACTCCATCACAAAGGATCCAGGTTAATGCCCTATCTGTTACCAAGAGGTTAGAAGTGGGCTTTTCCTGGTCATTTCCCAAGACCTCTACATTCCTGCCCCGAAGTGACATGATCACAGAAAGCCCAAGATGCTCAGTGTAATTGCTGCCTGGAGAAGTTGTCAGTAGTGCTCTAGTCCACGAAAGCTCCAGTCAATTATGCACTCTTCCTTTCTTCAGTTTACTAGGAATGGGCACACTCATTCCTGAAACCAAGCACACTCATTCCTGAAACAACTTTCCTTGGTTCCCTCATCCAAGTCAACAAACAAGCCCGAGCACTACACCATGGCTTATTTCTCTTCTGGTAAGAGAAAGGCACAAGCTGGAACCTCTCTCATAACTTCTGTGCTCCTTCCAGAGGTAAGCAGGTGGAGCATGCACTGAGCACAGACTCCAAAAGGCCAAGCCCCCTTTTCCCAGCTCACCCCTTGAGTAAGAAGAAATGCTTGTCAGTTACTTCCTCTGCCTCTAAGCCTGGTGGTTCGACCTTTCCACTAATTTCTACCTTGAGGTCACTGAGCCCGTTTTACTAGACCCTTGCTTGTATTTGTATCAGCAAAGGAAGCCTGAGACACATCATAACACTGCCAGTGTGCCTCAGGTTGTGCTTGCCCCCATTGCCTCATCCTCTCCTCGGATCACTCTCGGAGACTGCACAGTGGGAAGCTGAGGGCAGTTCTTCCCCTCTAAGTGTTCATCTCCCGAAGCTGGAGAAAAGGCAATCACTTCTTCACTAGCCCTCTGTCTTCTAACACACACGCACAACTATGGCACTGCACTTGTGCCCAACACCATGTAGTGAATGGCCTACTGGCTTCAGGGATACAAATAGTTAATCCTTCACCCTGTATGTCTGCCAAGGTCTTCTTATGCCTTAATTAATCACCTCCATGTCATGCCTGAGGATCGTGTCATTAAAACTCAAAATAGCTGTCTCTTAAGGCCTTCATTCTGTGGTTTCCTCTTAGTTTCTGTTAGGGCAAGGCAGTTTTTTAAGCACATGTTACCATCCCCCTGCCCCCTTTAGCTCTGTGGAGGACAAGGTACTTCTTGGTTCTTTTCTACCACTGGTGTTACCTTGCCCATAAGCCTGACAATCCCTTTTCCCTTAGACCTGTCAGGCTGGAGCATTTGAGTTCTGACATCAGTCCTGTTTTCTTATCTAAACGAATCCCTTGGTAATTTTGCATTGATTCTTCAAGATCTAAATACTCACGCCTCTCAAATTTACATCGTTTTTTTATGGTGTTTCTTCTAAGATTTATGTTCATCTACCACATGCCTTTTAACATCTAAATTTCTAAAAGACACTTCAAACAAACCAAAACAACTCCACATCACATCAGCCTTCTGAACTCATCCCTCAATCTGCCCACCCAAGTACCACTGCCCCTTAACCAGAGCAAATCTATCTAGTCTGCTGATATCAAAAAGTCTGGAGCCTTC